GGCAGGTTTGCACGAGGCGCCTGTCTAACAGCAGGTACCCAAGAGCACCATCCCTGTCATGGTGATATAAACAGTTCAGCCAATGGAAAAATCCTCAAATCCGTATTTTGGGGTTTTTTCCCCTCTATCTGCGTGGCTCCACACCCCTCGGGAGCTCCCCCCAGCACCCCGCTCCTGGGGCCGCAGGGCTGGGATGCCAGAGCTGCCGCCTCCTGCCCCATGCCGGCAATGCCAGGAATCACTCCCATCACCAAATCTCACATTTTCCAAGGGGGGAGTTAAAGCCGGTAGGTTTTAAAGCCTTTTTTTTTTTTTTCCATACTGCTGGCATAGGCACTTAGTGTATCACTGACGTACAGATTTTATGTCCAGTTACATCTTGTGGCCAAATAGTGTCATGTTCTCAGACTGATTAAAATAGCAAGAGGCCAAGAGGGCCCCCAGTATTATTCCTAAATACGATTTCTCTCATTTTAAAAACCAAAAGCCCTGAAGTTTTTCAGCTTTGTTTTCAGGTGTTATTTTGTCTTCCCTCTAAAACCGTACTCAAAGGATGAATAACCCAATAACCTTCATATGCATCTGTTTTACCTGATTTACCCGATTTACCTATATAAAAAAAAAAAAATAGCATAAACAGTCTGACGAACTAGGTTTTGGAGCTGCGATACCCTCAGCACTGGGGAGTCCTAAGGAGCACTTGCTGAGAAGCGTGAGCACGGTGTTGGTGTTGTTGGCTTTGCTCTCCCAAACCTGCCCCAGGCTGCAGAGATCCTTCTTGTTCCACCCCCCTCGCCGCTAATGGTTCCTCTGCATATTCAGGCACCATAACTGATTGGGAAAGATCTCACAGCCAAATCCTTAGGAAATTAAATAAATTATAAAATAATTTATGAAAAGGGTTTGGTTTTTTTTGTTTGTTTGTTTGTTTAAATAGAGCTAGTTCATGTTATTTCTTGGATAGTTGAGGGTTTTGCTTGTTTTCCTCTCCATAGCGATATTATGGAGATCAGACACCATCGTGATGTCTACTCGAAGGCTGACAGCAACCAAAGGATGTTGCACCAAGGTTTCCTCCATCCCTCCCCTCCCACCCGCTGGCATTCAGCTCTTTTAGAAATGTGAAGTGAAGACCGAACAGCCAACACCTTTCAGACTCAGAAAAAAAACAGGGTTGTCTTTCGGACGGGTGCTGCTGAAGACCTTGTTGCCCTTCCAGGTCATTGATAAACCACAGTGCTATTCATGTACTACAGGTAGAAAATAAATAAATACAGATATATTATGCAAAAAAATATGATTGTACACATAATACATCTGAGGTATTACCAATTTAAATAAGGTTTCATGCTAGTTCAAGCTTCAGTGGCTAGTTAAATTCTGGAATTTGCAATAAATAGATGAAGAATGATTATGCATATAGTGTATGGATCTCTTCTGTAAACCTTGTCTGATTTAAACGTAAGAGCATGTTGGGCTCTCTTACGCAAACCACAAATTTTCACAATAAATACAGCTTCAAAAAGTTGTCTTAAAAAGTTCCTGCAACACTGAAACGTTTCTAGAAGGGGCTGTGTGTACGACTGGCAACGTTAGCGAGGAGTATTTCTCAACAGGTCTTTTCATACAAAACACAAGGAAATTCATACGTGAAAGTCTTTTTCCCTCCCTCCCCACCCCACCCCATCATGAAAGTTTAGAAATTTTTGCACAAACAGCGAGAGGACTGATTGTAGCTGCAGTATGTCAAAACGTCCATGTTCTATAAAGACCAAAAATAGTTTGTTTGCTTAGAAAGTCTTTTTTTTTTTGTTGTCTTTTCCTCCTTATTTTTGAGGAGCACATCAACCTTTCGGTGAAAGTTTGCCCGTCTGACCATTCTTCATCTTTCCTTTTGGTGCTGGTCCTTCCCACCCCAGCCACGCAGGCATTTCACACTTTCACCGTCTCCATCAGCGATGACTTGATGGCATCCTCCAAAAGTTGATTGTCTGTGAAAGGGGCTGGGGTTTCGGGGACGGATTCGGACAAACCGATGAGGGACTCCAAGAAACAGGAGCCCTGATCTCCGGCTTGCGGGAAGCCGGGGAAATTAGGCAACTGAAACTGTAACGCTGAGAAGTTATCGAGGTTCTCGTACTCCTTTAAGGAGTTGTAAAGAGGTCCCAAGTTATAGTCTGAGAAGGACTGGAAGAAATCCAAGGAGTCAGAGGAAAGGCTGAGGTCGGCATAGCTCTTGGAGCAGGGCTCGGCCGGGGACGAGGCGCAGCAGGACAGCCCATCGCACCGCGCGTGGGCAGCATCCTCCAGCAAACCCCCGCCGTCCTGGTTGGCATTCTCATCCAGGCACTCGGAGAGGTGGGACAAGTGGCCGGGGACAGGCTTGGCCTCACCACTGTGGTCCTCAATGAAGAAGTCGGTAGGGTGGAAGCAGCTCAGGTCATCCTGGCCGCGGCCACCATCTTCCTCGGCATCCGAGTCGTTGAAGTGGAGGATGCGTGCCAAGCCGTCGTCGTCCACGTCCGACTGGGACTTGTCGGAGGGGAGGCTCTCGTAGGGCTCCTCCAGGTCCTCGCTGGGGTGGGAGGAGATGGAGGAGTCCGTCATGTCGCTGCTGCAGCTGTTCTCCCCCAGGGCCTCCAGGTCGGGGCTGAACTGGAAGGCGGGTGCCAGCGGCACGGCGCGCTCCTCCAAAGAGCCCTTCCCCGCCGCACATCCCAAGGGCGGGAGCCGCTCCCGAAAAGGGGGCTCGGCCTCCACCACCTTCTCGCTGTTCTGCTGCTGCTTCTCCAGCTCCAGCTTCATGATGGTGTGGATGAAGTGGGTCTGCACACGGGACTGGTTGAACTCGATCCTGCCCTCAGTGTTGCCGCAGCCGTCCTTGGTGCAGCCGCAGGGGAAGGAGGTGTGATCCATCTGGCATGGGGAGAAGCAGAGGCGAAGGGTTAGGACCGAACCCGGTGGCGCAAAACCAAAACCGCCCATGACTCACCCGCCCTGAGAAACCAAGTAACAGCTGAGGGGTTTAAGAGCAGACTTAAAAAAAAAAGAAAAAAAGAAAGGGGAAAAACAAACAAAAAAAAAAAAGACACCCTGCTCTTTTGAAGGGTTGTCATAAAAATGTTGGCTTTCAGTACAACTGAAGGAAGTTAAAAGGTTCCAAAAAAGCAAAATATAATGCTCCAAAAGGAGACATAACAGGGCAAGCGTGAGTTTTTATATATTGCATCATGATGTTTAATACCTGATCCATATCATGAGCTTCTGCCCCTCGCCGACATAAGGACAAATTGTTCCACAGGCATCTGCGGCACCTTCATGTCCCCGTTATCAGCAGCCGCTAGAGGGGGGCTGTGACATGCACACGGAGCACCCGTCCTGTGTGCACCCACCCGCCCGCGCACACCCACCCTACACCACCCCCACCGGCAACCACCGTATCGAGGGAG